GAGTTTCCCTTGGCCCGTAGCTGCAATACCCACTACATCTTTGCCTGCGCGCAAGCTCTGCCCTGCCTGCAGTTGCCACCGACATGCACGGACCCCAAATCTCCGGAAAACAATTTCCCTCAGCTCTTCTTCAGTCCATTTTCGGGTGGTCTCCAGACGTGTTATCTTATCAGTAGACATGCGTGAGCCCGAGAAGACGATCACACGACCGGTGCGCTGGCAAGACGGAGAACAACTCTTTCGAACCCTAGGTTCATTCTTAGGCATGTATGCCGAGTGAAGCCGAGAATTTGAAATACAAGATCTGCCAGCCGCTCTATCGCGTCGTACTCCCCCAAACTTCATGATATAACAGGCAGGTGCTTCTCACAGATCACATGTTGTTTACTAATCATGTCCCGAGTCCCTTGCACCGACCTCACCGCTCGGATTTGGGAGTACCGACGCGATACGAGCGGCTGGTTCAGGAGCCTGTGTCGCCTCGTCGTCGTCCTCGTTGCTCACTGTGCACTCTCCGGGACTCCTGAGCCTTGTCTTTGATACTGTCACCTACGGATTTCCCAATATCAACACCGAACTAGCTGTGAAATGAGAATTCGGACAAAGTCAGAGCAGTCTCATCGGGGAAATGCAGCTGATGCCAATGCAGCTGCATCATTGGAGGTGAAGCAGTTCACTGTTTCTGTAGGCTGGTAGTCTAGTATAGTCGGATGTACGTTGGGCGGATTGAACGCAGCTCGTCGTCGCGGAGGGACAGTCGTTTTTACCAAATTAGGACTGTGACGGTAATGTGACGTAGCTCACGTGATGTTTCCGGATCGTGCATGAGCTTAGCCTTATATTATCCGTGATTATTGATAATTGCTGCGCGTGCCAGTCGTATTGTTGACTTATTTAGGCAGCTGGTTTTGTCGCGTGGGAACCTGTTCAATGTCACATGGCAGTAGCTGATAAAGGCAGTGAATCTGCACTGCATAAGTTCCGGGTCGAGAGATACCTAAGCAAGCTCAGGTAATATATACTTATGGTCGACAATGCATGGTGGTCCTCATCGGATCAAATATGACATACCTGAGGCAAGCAATGCATTGCGCAAACTGCTCCGCGCGTTGCAACGTTTGCGTGTCGCATGAGTTGCAGGCGCTCTAGGCGTCCGGGTCAATGCAGCATACTTATTGGGAATAAGTATGATTCGCAACAAATACGCCAGGGTTCAAGGTACCTATATCTTCACGCTCTGGCTCTCATGACGGCTATGATGCATCACAAGTATCCAAGTAACATATTCATATATAGAGTTATGTAGCGGTGTCCATGCGACCTTGCAGAGATAATTGGTTATACAATGTGGCGCTGGCTCTCCAAGTTTCGGTCTTGACATGTCTCGAGCACCCGCCTTCCCGACAAATCCCTCCATTCGTCCTGCTCGTTCCGTTCCGACATCTAATGGCAACGAAGATGGTTACGCCACCACTAGCACCAGACCCCTTCAGATCAGCCGACCCTCTCGCCCGAATACGCCCAGTTCCATAGCTGGATCCCCAGGCGCGCCCTCGCGACCGCAAAGATCTGAGATGCGCGCCAGAGTCCCGCCCGACTACGCTGCATCTGAGGCCGGTACCTCGTCTTCTCGTGCTAACGGATATCCAAGGGACTCAGATGCCATGAGTGTTCGCTCGGATGCTTCGCGAAGTCGCAGGCCGCGCAATGGCAGCAGCCAAGGTACGACTACGCCTCAGTCATCAATTCCAACAAGGTCTAGGGCGGGTACCAATGGCACAGACGAGTCAGAGCTATCCCCAACGTCGTTGTCCGCGGTTATGTCTGCGTTCCGGAGCGCAGGGGAGCGGAAACGAACACAGGATAGCGTCGACATCGAATATGAGAGGGAACGAGAACGAGAACGGGAACGAGAACGAGAGCTGCAGAGATTGAATCAACAAAGGATCAAAGAAAGGGTACCAGGACGGAAGACCACTCGCAAGGCTCGGGCGGGCGATATCGATGGTACGTCGTCGTCTTACGGTCTTCGCTCAATCGCCAGGGCCCCGACGATGCCTTGTCCATAACCTATTGCGTGCAGCTATACTCGATGAGATCAGGGACGAGTGGGAGTTTGTCATTGACCCCGACGTATGAGTATCATGCTGGTCGATGGATATGCCGCCTGACTTGAAGCTATTCACAGTTCAATCCTGTGGATCTCGCATTACAGTTACTGGACGAACGGTCAACTGGGAAAGACATCAAGTCCTTCCGTCAAACAGGTCGAATGCTTTCTCAAGCCCTGAAAGGATCGGTGGACGGTATGTGCTGCCTCGCGAACGAATCTGCATAATGATGTTTATCATATAACACAGAGCATTACCGCGCATTCGATGCTGCATTGCCCCATCACGCATCATTGCTATCTCATCTGGGTACGGCACAGGATCAATTAAAGGAGGCTCGAAACGCTCTTGCAGAAGCTAAAGACATGTTGGGGGGAAAGCGGGCTGATCTGATGCAACTTTGGTCTAGAGGCCAAACCGTGGAAGAGATGATCCGTATTTTGGACCAAATGTACCGATATCAATTTGTTCCTCCGCTGGAACACAAAGCTCATACTGCACTAGTGAATTTCTCAAGACAGTTCCAGACATATTGGAAAGCCTTATGTCCGAGAAACGTCTTCTACATGCGGCAGTACTCCTCGTACGTAGTCTCAAGATGATCAATAGGTCGGACATGCTAGATATTGGCGCCGTGGCCGATCTACGAAGCTACTTGAACGGGCAGGAGACCGTGAGTGTTTGACTGTCTCTGCGCGTCCACGGTCGTGCTGAGTTGGCATCATCGAGTAGGCTCTTAGAGAGATCCTGGTCGAGGAGCTGCACGCTCATCTTTATTTGAAATCATTTTGGTGCGACTCTCGATGGGCCGTATATGCTGCTGGCCAACAGACATGTACGTGATTGTACCTTGTGCCCAACCTTTGCAACTTACCCTTGAACAGTCCGACGTGTGGAGTATGAAGACGAACCGCTCATGGATGAGGTGAAACTGGATCTCACCTTACCAACCTCCCCGACTTCTCACCGTTCACGACTTTCTCGTTACATGGACAACCTCACATTACGGCCAAATGAGTCTCCTTACGACCTCAGCGAACCGAACTTCTCCCGTTCGTCGCAGGGGCCCTCCGGCAATCCTTCTTCGCAAGTGCAATCAATATCCCCAGAAATGGATTCACGAAACCCGGAAACAGACTCATTCGCGTACATCGAGATGCTCTTGGAATCTCTAGCTGTGTTAGGGAGGCTTGGAAGCGGCTTGGATGTCGTTGCCCAACGTGTCCCTACAGAGATATACAACTTGGTTGAGAGCACTGTCGACGAGGTTGCCGAACGTGCAGAATACGGGCGACGAAGCTCGGTTTACGGCACCACCGTTCCTGCCTCAGGTCGGTTGGATGGTATTTACGTGTTCACTTCCGGCCTTACTGTCATACCCGGTGGGATGGATTCGGTGGCGGGCTTAGGTGGCGGCGCAATGGTTGATCCAACGAAGACAGGCCTCCTAAGCGCGCAGTCTTTGAGACTGTCTGCCTTGGAGTCGACCGCGAAGCAATTGGACCACGAAACATTACGTGACTTCTTTTGGACGCTGTATTCCAAGTTGGACGCTGTGATGCAAGGCCTACGGGTGATCTACGAAGTGGCCAACCGCATTGGCTCTGTCAGTACCATTCATTCGTCGGTAGAATGCATATATGCTAATGCCCAGTTCGGCAGAGGAGGGATTTCAGGGACTCATCGGGTGCGAAGCCTGGTTCTCTGTTTCCATTGGCAGAGATTTGGACTCCTGTCCAAGCGGAGGTACGATGATAATGGCGGTGCTACGGTTTCATGCTCATACCTCTATTAGCTGCGGACCTTACTGTACGATTATCTGATGGACGAAGAGCAAGGCGCAATCCCAGGCAGGAATCTCATGGTGTCAGTTAACGAAGTTCTGCGGGAAGGCAAATACTCTAGGGACAAATCCAAGGTTGGAAATCAGCCAACCTAACAGTCACTGCGCCTGATCGTGAAACCGCATCTAGCCTATTTTCCGATTCGCTGACACCGATCTCAAGCTCACAAATAAAGCGTTGAAAGATCACGAGAATGAGCTCGCTCAGGTTTTGCGTGACAGTGTGCCAGGTTTAGTTCATGGTACCTCTGAGGGATTAGTACAAGCTACTCTCGCCGTCGTTGGGATGGATGACCGGATGCTTGGGACCAACCAGCATCACCGCCTTCTTGTGCGGCCCGATGCCTTTCATGTCAGCGTTTTATTCCAGCCTACTTTGGCCTTTCTGGATCGCGTCGCAGAAATCCTACCCGCCGGCCTAGAATCTGCTCGAGCATCCAGTACAATTCTGGATGAATTCGTCCTCAGGGTATATCTTCCACAACTGGAAGACAAGGTATCCATCCTATTCCATCAAGCATTGTCGGGTGCGCATTTCACAGTCTCGTATGTTTTTTTGTCTTTGACATTGAGAACTCAGGCCCTGAGGCGTTCCAACCGGATCCTGCGTCTCTAAGATTCTCAGCGCAACCGTTGGCGAAGGTGAACTAGTCTGGTGTCGATGTGATGATATGATGATGAGCTGATCCCCGTAGGCTGCCACCCAACTCATGGCGCTGATTAATTCCCTATGTGCCATGCTTCGAACTACACCATTCCATCGAGACAATTACTCCCGCCTTATTCTTTCGGTCATCATACAATTCTATCAGCGCTGCAGTGACCGCTATCAGTCACTCGCGTCCGGCAAGGCGAACTCGAGCCCTGAGGCAATACCTCGAATATCTATCCCCGCAAGGTGGGCTCAGAGGAACGAAATCAGTACCTGTCTCTCTGAGTTGCTGAAGACCGCGGTGGGTGTTCCCCGCCTTCGCTGACTTCTCTCGCTAAATTTCTCCTAGGACGAGAACAAGCGACGTCAATTGTGTCGACAAGAAACTCATCTCGAACTTTCTATCATCAGCGGTAGCTCTCTGGCATCCGATGACCTGGTGGCATCCATTCAAAACTTGGCGGAATTGAGTAGCCTTTATCATAGTGTCGTAAGTGCTCCCTATGCGAGCGCGTTGAGTAAAGCATGACGATTTGCGAAGGCGTGGTTTTCCACCGAACTCAACAACCTGAAAGCCGTGCCTGAAGAAGCCATGTCGCCAACGACGCCGTTGAGATTAGATCCATTGTCCGCCGCCACGCCTTTCACTCCTCAACTTCCAATAATGCCACCCGTAATGCCGAATGAGCAGTTACAGCTGCCCTTGTCTCGAGACATGGCTCTGTGAGTGGTTCTCGTGCCATCACAGGCGAACACTAACCACGATGTCCGACAGCCGATATCGTGCCCTTTTGCAGACATTCGACCTGCTTTCTGAGCTCATTCTTTTCACAATCAGGATAGACGTTAGGTGTCGAACGGTGTTACATCTGAATTTGGCGACGCAGGAAGGGGATTACGCACCCGAACGCGACAATCCCGAACCGGAACCTCACGTTGTTGACCTTGCTGCTGAGATAGCAGATTGTGATGAGGCTGTTTCAAACACTCTTTCCGTGCGCGAACACGAGTACGTGACGTTTGAGTTGCACTATTCTGCTGATCTTTTAAGCAGTGGTTATAGGTTTGTGTTCGAGGGGTTAGGACACTTGATGGAACATCTCCTGATTGCGCAGGGAAGGCGCATACGACGTGTCAACTCATTCGGTGTTAGCAAGCTTAACCGCAACATGGTCACCCTCCAGCAGAGCATCAAGACCGTGATCAACGATTCGTCGGCATCAGAGTTTGATCGGGCCAAGCGCTACTGGCAAATGTTCGACATGACGCCGACAGTGAGAACTCTGATACCCAGAGCGAATTTGCAGCCGCTGATAACAACCTAGGCTATGTTGGACAGCATTCGTCAGAAACAGCTCTTCAGTTTCGAGGAGTACGAAACCATGCTGAATCTACAATGTGGCGTAGATCCAACGCAAGGCGAAGCCGGCAGGGCGCAAGCTACAGATAGGAACTATGGCATGTACGTGATTGATTTGCACGGAATGGAGCTGGAGAAGGATAGCGAGTATTGATGGAGAGCCGGCTTGTATTTATGGTGTTTCGCGAACCTTGAACAAGTGTGGAATGGATCTGCTTTCATGCGACACCCGCATACTCTCGCTGCAGGGGAAAGATAGACACCGACTGACTCTGTACTGTCACTTCGCCGCATTGGTGCTAGCCCGCTGTAGCCAGGCCAAATCTGCTGGATCTACGTCCGGTAGCCGATTGGCGCTTGAGTACAAGGAAGCGGCAAGCGCACTTGGAGAAAGGGATACTGAGTAAACAGTGTTCCTTGGTCGTGCATCCGGTAATGCCGAGTATGAGTACGTCAAGTCAGGTGTCCTCCCAAGTAGCCTTTTGTAAGCTCTCCTGAGTGTCCGTTTCGCCTGAACAGGGTGCGGAGAGGGTGAAGGATTGGCGAGTTCCTGTACTCCTAGCGCGATGCGTTCTCGTCTTGTCATGGGCTTCGACACATAGGACGGGCCAGCTATGGCTTCTGCCTGGTCTCGGACGCCAGACCCTTGTAATCCTATTGGGCGAATACCAGCACGAGACACATCATGTGTTGAACTACTGGCGGGTCCATCGTCGTCTATTCTTCGCACCCGTACTTCAAGCGGGGGAAGTATCTTCTTCCATTGCTGCGTGAAGAAACGCCAATGTATGTTGACTTGTCGCCGTTTGCTCAACGGTCCAAGCAATCGAGCATCTTCGGATGTCGGATCGGCTCGAGGAGGCATTGTCGGAGGTGTGATCAGGCTCTTCGAGTTAAGGGGCTTCGTGGTGCGCGAATACGTGGAATGAAGTAGAGCCTTCAACTCCGGCGAGTAAACGGGGGGACGGGATTTCTCAACCGCGGGTATAATTCGGGGTGGCAAGGGAGCATCCGAGTCCGCAAGTAGTGGCTGCGATGGTGTTTGGAATGACTTATGATTGGTCGGCTGACGACCGACTGTAGACGCACCTTCATGATTTCCCATCTCAACCGACCTGTTCTGCCGTAAGCTTCGTCCAGTGCGCGGTCGAACGCACGCCTATCGCCTGCACAAGCGGCTTGCAGCGTCCGGAGGTCCTGCATGTGTATGAGTTGGTGGAGTCGCCATATCAGCTGCCACGCACCGCCTTTGCTCGTTTGAGCTTCGACTTGAGCAATGGCGCGTTTTTCGGATCGGTCTCTAGAATTGCACGGACGGTGTCGCCGGACTTGATGTGAAAGAATGCTCTGATGGGAGGTGAGGATCAATGAGGATGCAAAGCGTGGGGGGCGCACCGAAGATAGTCGACTGGAAGCGCATGACTCCGGCGGAGCAACGAGCGATAGAGCGATAGAATCTGTCTGCGGTCGACGGCCGAGGTCATCGCGAGGTTTCTGTCGAAAACGGATCGCGAGCACGGGATTTCTCGGTGACGCCATGGCATCACGTGAGATCACAGTCGCGCAGGGAGCTTCGCGTTCTTCAAGTTGCGCCCCAGCATCATACAATATCTATTCGGCCATGGGTGCCCCGTGTCTACACCCATCTGCACTTGACATCCAACGTTCCGCCGGCACCACTGTCACAGACACCGGGCCACGCCTGGGAAATACTCGGATACTCTTAATATGATGCTAATAGACGCACCCACTTCCTGCATCAGGAAGCGCAACGGCGTTGCGTCCTCAAGGAAACCCGCGGTTAATCCGGCAATTGTATTGGTCTGCATGTTGACCGTCAGGCGTGCATTTAGCGTCGCGCATAAAAAGCTGCTGGGGCTTGGGCTGGGACAGTGAGCTCCTCCATCGCACTCCCCGGCGCAGTCATGAAGTCTCTGGCTCTGTTTGCTACCCTCCTCGCTGTCCCGGGAGCTCTCTCCCAGGCTTCAGAGTATGCGCAATGTGGTATGTCTATCAAGGCTTTCACTCGGAATCCACGCCCATACAAACATCCTCAGGTGGCATTGGTTGGACTGGTGCCACTGCGTGCCAGTCTCCATTCGTCTGCACTGAGGTGATTTAGCCACCATTGCAGTAGTCGCCACCCACTCATGAGCTGTCGTCACAGTTAAACAGCTACTACAGGTCGATACAGCTACGGTTCCGCTTGCGTCTTCTTGACTGACTCGTACAACCCAGCCAATGCTTGCCTGGAAGTCCCGGCGCCACCTCTAGCAGCGCGTCATCCACGATCTCGTCGAGCAGCGCCCCGACCCCGACCCCGAGTGGGAGTCTGCCGCGCCTCGGTGGTGTCAATACTGCTGGCTACGATTTCAGCGCTGTGAGTCTATATCGTTGCTCATGCACATGGCGTCTGAACCGATTGAATGCTCGTAGGCTACCGATGGCTCGTTCGTCGACAACAGTGTCAGCCCACCGGTATCTCAGTACTCTCACTTCGCCTCGCAAGGCGCGAATCTTTTCCGTATTCGTGAGTGCAATGCGACAAATTCCAACGAGGCATAGTGCTCACCTTCGGTCAGCGTTTGGTAATGCATGCCCGATTGTGTCAGCGAGCTGCAACTGACTCGCTCGACCGCAGCGTGGTCGGAGATGCAGCCGACCCTTGGCGGGCCTCTGAATCAGAGTTTCCTCAGTCGCTATGATGCAACCGTCAACGCTGCTCTTGCCACTGGCGGCTATGTTATCGTGGACGTCGTACGTATTCTTCGACGATGTTGGATGAAATTATTTCGTCTGAAGTATACGATCAGCATAACTACGCGAGGCTGAACGGACAGATCATCGGCCAAGGCGGCCCAACCAACGACCAATTCGCAAGCCTCTGGTCTCTACTTGCTGCGCACTACGCCAGCCAGTCCCATGTCATCGTACGTGGAATAAGGCCAATACATTTCCTCAACTAACTCGCGATATTACCAGTTTGGCGTCATGAATGAGGTTAGTATCCGTCATGCGCTACTGTGAGCTGAAAGCACTGACCACCTTCAAGCCCCACGATGTACCTGACCTCGGAGCCTGGGCTACTTCGGTGAGATGGAGATCGTCTCTCAACTTTTACAACTCAATGCGACCTGTACCGTCAGGTGCAAGCTGCGGTCAACGCTATTCGCTCCGCTGGCGCCACCTCACAAGCCATCCTCATTCCCGGCTCGTCCTGGGCCAGCGCGCAAGCTCTTCCCACGGAGGCTGGGCCGTACCTGCTCAAGGTTACCGACCCGATTGGCGGCACCAGCAAGCTCCTCTTCGACGTACACAAGTATCTCGACTCTGGTGGGTTTCTTGACGATGGCCTTCTTGACCTTGCTTGACACAGGATTGGACGTAGACAACTCCGGAACGCACGCGGACTGTGTTACGGTAGATTATCAGTATATGTTTTACCAGATTGCACTAATGACGGGTGAAAGAACAACGTTGACGTCCTGACGACCCTTGTGAACTGGCTCCAGCAGAACGGAAACAGGCAGGCAATCCTTTCGGAGACGGGTGGGGGAAACACCGCGTCCTGCGAAACCGAGTAAGCTCCTTTATGCTCATTGGAATTCGTGGTGATCTGACGCCCAGCGTATGCAGCCTGGGGCAAGAATTGGCCTACGTGAAGCAAGCATTCCCGACTTTGGTGGGATTCAGCGTATGGGCTGCAGGTGCCTTCGACAGCACCTACATCCTCAGCGTGTCGCCCAACCCTGGTAAGCTACTGCTGAACCGAAAAGTTGGTCTTATTCATATTGCCTATAGATGGCTCCGACCAGCCCCTTTGGGTCGATGCAGGTTCATACTAACATCGCTTAGTCCGCACTCAAGCACTGATCGCATTTTTTTCAGTGAAGCCGAACTTGCCTTGAGCTGCGCATGTCTGATCGCTGTCCCTGTCGTCCTTACGTCAAATGGATCAGCCTGTATCTGCGTAATATATCGTTCTAGAATGCGTCAGCCTTTCAGCTCTCAAATAAAGACATCAAGGCCCCGGCACACCTTAGGCAGCGTCGCCCCTGAGAACGCATATACAGCCTACTTAATCGTATCCGGACCGAGTTCGCCATGCAGTCACAGTAAACAGTTGGACAGTCACGGCTCTGTTTTTGCTAATCTCCTCACGAGATAGAGTACTTACTACATGTATGAAATACTTATCCACCCGGTGCTTAGCGGTGTGTCGGCTTACGTGGTCCACAAAAAGACGCGAATTCAAACCCCGGAGTGCAGGGCTGGATCCTGTTTACTATTAGGGACCGTGCCCGGTAATCACAGCCAGAGTCTTTCATTACAAATTACGTTTGGACATTTTTTTTATGAAAATCTATATCATTTGTTAAAACTCCCGTCAAAATTAAATTTTTACTTGGAGTAGAGAAGTAGCAATATATTTATATATGGAAGGTCACCTACCATAGATGTATATATTTTTATGTTTTATTGTAAATGCAAAACGTGTTTGGACAGCAATTTGAGGATGAAGTATAAATCAACATAAAGAAATTTGTACAAATGTAGTTTGTAAGGAAATACTCTGGCTGTGAATATACCCTACCTACTCAACTTCTCAAGATAACGTAGCATCACATGACCTGCATTCT